TTCAAAGATAAAAGTTTTAGCTTCTCATTTCTCTATATAAGACTTTTCATGCACAAGCTCATTTTATCTTCCAAACCTTTTCCCTAAGTATTCTCCATGAGTCCCTCATTTTAATACAAGTGGGCTTCTCCTTGCCTCACAAAAATGCCTTGTTTCTTCCTTGAGTTCACTGTATTTCCAAGCATTATCCCTGTTGCTCCATTTACCTTTTAGAACCATCCAGCTTTTAAAGTCTTTGTTAAGGGCTACCCTTGTCAACCACGTGCTGGCTCCTCCGATATACCTTGATTTTTTTTGTATGCTTTGTGATTTTTGTCTTTCTCTTGCTACATATATAAATATATCTCCCTCAGGTAGGCTTTAAGCTTCTTGAGAACAGGAAGAAATCTGATTCACTTGAATATGTGATAAAAATTTGACTTATCTCAAGCTAAAGGGCCAAACACATAAATATATTCATTTATTAAATTAACAGACATTTGTTTTTGAGTACCTATCATGTATTAGGCACTGGGATTAGAGAATGATAATTACTTCTCCTCTCAAGGATTCAATAATTTATTTTGAGATGCAGAGGAACAGAGAGGCAGAGTGATGTGTGATGAGTATGGCAACAATGTAGTATTCCAAGTGCCATGGGAGTGAAGTAAAAGGATGTATAACTTGAACTGGAGGATGGAGAACAGGGATTATGTCTTTAAGGACTAACAAAAAGTGATGCTCAGGATCTCAATAATGCATCATAGATAGACATCATTTTTATTAGAGAGTTAGCTTAGTTGAAAGGGAACAGAGATAAAACCCAAATATTCAGTAGAATTTCCCGCAGAATATAAGTGCTGAGAAATGACCTCAAAAGAAGCATAATACCTATACAATTATAGAACTTATTGGAAATATGACTAAGATCTATTATTTAAGAAATTGTTATGTCTAGATGACTTTTCAGTGAAATCTGATAAACCTTTAAAGATCACATAATTTCATTCTCATCATTAAACTAATATAAAGAGTAGAAAAGGATGAAAAACCCTCATATCTAAACTTAAAATAATAAGGAAAGCAAGTAGAGGAAGACACTGCAGAACAATCTTACTTATGATTATATGTACAAAAATAAGTAAAAGATATCCTTTTAATTCATTGACACATCAAAACACTGCAACTGAGAGTGAGTAGGTTTTTTCTAGCAGTGCACAGCTGGTTCAATTTCTAGAAATTCAGCAATATGATTTGGTATATTGCTAAATTAAGGAAGGTAAAAAGAGATGATATACTAGTGGATGTTAAGAAGGTAATAGATTATAGAAAGGGATGAGTAACCAAGGAGATAAGCATTCATTCACTTAGCCATTCATGCATAGCATATTTTCTAAGAGCTTTCTAACTAGGCAGCCCTGGAATAGTGAGACCACTCAGGAACTTGTAGCTTATTAAAACAGATCAGCAGGTGAAAAAAATAGCTTCTGTGGACTATTATAAGTATGAAACAAATACTAGAAGATTCTAGAATTAAGCTACTCATTTTGGGGATCAATTTTTATAGCATCAGAGACATTTGAGCTGGGTCAAGATTAAAAAAAAAAAAAGATCAGCCAAAACTGGTTTGCTCAGTGGCTAGAGCGACAACCTGTGGACTGAAGGGTTCCAGGTTCAATTCTGGTCAGGGGCATGTGCCTTGGTTGCGGGCACATCACTAGTAGGGGTTGTGCAGGAGGTAGCTGATCTATGTTTCTCTCTTATTGATGTTTCTATCTTTCTCCCTTCCTCTCTGTAAAAAAATTAATAAAATATATTTAAAAATGATCAGTAGAAAGTAAAGGCAGTAGAATGAATGACATTGTAGCAGTGAGCACAACATGAGCAAAGTTCAGGGTTATGAACATTCATTATAAATCCTGGAAATGGTGTCACTGGGCCACTATTGACATTCTGAAGAATGATAGGAGAAGATGCTGTGAAGATCATCTGCAATAGAGACTTGGCCAGAGTTGGCCAGATTCTGAGGAAGTGGAGCCTCCATGGTGAGGGAATTAGATGGTGCTGTGGAAGGCAGAAAAGATGGTGGAGTCAGTGATTTCCATATGGATGCTTAAATTTACATTGTTCATACTCTCCCAGAAGTATTCCACAGTCAGCTGACAATGTGGGATTGCTCTGGAAATGTGCTTCTTTGCTTTTAATATCATTGCATTCTATATTAACCCGTTATTTAAAACTTTCCATTTTAGAATAACTTTAGACTTATAGAGAAGTGACAAGGATAATATTAACCCACTTAATAATGTACAAATAAAAGTTATACTACAAAACTGCACTGTGCATTAAAATTCTCAAACCTTTATATAACTTTATTTGTTTCCCACTTTTACTCACTTGAGTCATGTTGAAAGCAGAACAGACTCTCTTATCCATTTTTAGTAAAAGACTGAGAATCAATGTAAAAATTAAAGTAAATAGCCGAAACCGGTTTGGCTCAGTGGTAGAGGATAGGCCTGCGGACTGAAAGGTCCCGGGTTCAATTCCAGTCAAGGTCATGTACCTTGGTTGCGGGCACATACCGGCAGGGGGTGTGGAAGAGGCAGCTGGTCAATGTTTCTCTCTCATCGACGTTTCTAGCTCTCTATCTCTCTCCTTTCCTCTCTGTAAAAAATCAATAATATATATATATTTTTTTAAATAAAAGTAAATAAAAAACAAAATTAGTGTTTCTCAACCCTGAGAGATGGGTGTGGCTTTGGTCTTTTTTTTCTCTTTCTTTTCTTTTAATATCAAATAATTCTAAATATGCATCTAGTTTTAAGAACCATAAGTAAGCCAGCTGTTCTAGGGAGTTTTTCTCCATCAGTTTTATACTAGGTCTTGTGATGATGATTTAGGGATTTGCAAATAATACTCCCTGCATTCCCAGGGACTCACCTTTTAGTAACTGTATATGTACACAGCATGTGCACAGGATACAGGGGCGAAGAGAAAAAGAAAGGCCCTGTAACTAAACTGAAAAGCCAGTGTCTGGCTTCAGTAACATACCTACCTCTTGATTGTCAATTAAAAGTCTTTCTCAATTGATATTAATGTTATTTTCTTTTTTTTAAATCCTCACCTGAGGATGTTTTTTTAATTAATTTTAGAGAAAGAAAAAGAGAGAGAGAGAGAAATATTGATGAATGTGAAAAACATCAATCAGTTGCCTCTTAAATGTGCCCCTATGAGGAATCAAACCCTCAACCCAGCTATGTGCCCTGACCAGAAATCGAACCCACAGCCATGGCCAAGGTGTATGAATCCATGCTCCAATCAACTGATCCACCCAGCCACGTCAATGTAGTAAAATTATACCTCCAACAATTTGCTCTCCTCCCTCTGAATAGCACTTTACAATATATAAAGCACTTTAATATTATTATCTTTTTTATTGCCATAAAAGCTCAGAGGAGGATTTGAGGAGGACAAGGTTTTTATCTTAATTTTGAGGGAGTGGAAGTACCTCAGGCACCTGATCGAGCCATTGTGGCTGCTCAAGATCTTGTCACTTATCCTTTGTGATTTGATTCTAACACCCAGGCAACACTGTATCTTTTCTTTCCCATTTACCCTATCTCCCTATTTCCATGCCACATGCTGGGACATTTATTTTTTCCTGCATTTCTATTGCTCGTTGTCTTTACAGACATCTGGAAATAATCATGTAGTCCTCTCAATTAATTCAGCTCAATTAATAAATTACTGGATGGATTTGGGATGGGGGCAGGTGAGGGTGCCTTCCAGGCCTCCCTGGGCTGGAGAGCTCTTGCAATCAGGCTTGGAGAGCTTTTCCCAATAGCAGTCACTGAGCTGAGCTCAGCCCCAGCCTGGAGGCTGCCTGCAGGAGTGATTGGCTCACTCTGACATAGGAGGCATCCTTCTTCTTTCCTCATTTGGTGAATTTTAATCTGATTAGAACAGACCTGGTCTAGGCTGGTCTGTCCCCCACCCCTCTAGTTAAGTTTTTCTTAAAGGTCCAGTGTGGTATCAATTCAGCATAGTTCTTCATAGGGCATGTCTTTGTCATGTGGAGCTGACCAGTGCTTTACAGGTATTGAATACTCTGGCCCTTAGCCACTAAGTGCTAATAACAATCCTAGTCATAGTGGCAAGCGGTGTTCTCATCCTCCAAGTTCCAAGTGCCCCTTGTTGAAGGACAGAATTGCACCTGCCAGAGGGGCCCTTTTAAAGTATGTTGATAAGTACTTTTTATGTCCTGTTTTAAGATAAACTTTCGAAGGTTCTTTAATGTCTCAACAAGTTTAAGCTCCTCAAGCTTTCAGGCAAAGCTAACTGTGCTCTGGTTTCATTCCACATTTTGGCTCTTTTACTAGCTACCTTCATTTTTTTTATGCCTCCTCTATCCCCACTAAATGTAAGGTCTGTATACATGTTACTCTGCTAACATTGTTCAGGCCCATCCTCTACTCAGCACTTGGGCTCTGTCTGAAGGTCACTGAGTCAATGAGGTCTTCTGTTACTAGCAAGGAGTGATCTTATTTTTATTTTTTTACAGCAACACTTTTTTTAATCCTCACTTAGATAACTTATCACCTCATTTAGGTACATATCACCATTTAATTGGTGTGATAATTATTTGAATAGATCATTAATAAAAATGAAGCTTTCTTCAACCTTATTGGTATAAGATTCTCTTACCATAGATAATCCTGCAAGTTAGCGATTATTCTTATTTATATCTGTTGCCTGAGGAGTGTTGGGTACTAACATAGATACCTTTTAGAAGAGAGGTATTTTTTCTTCTCTTCTTCATTCCTTCTAACATTCTCTCTCTTTCTCTCTCTCTCTCTCTCTCTCTCTCTCTCTCTCTCTCTCTCTTTCCTTGTCATTGAGCTTTCTCAAGATTTTATTGAGTATAGATTAAAATGAAATAACAATGAATTAATGTATGTTGCCTGATTTTCATACTTCCATAAAAACAATTGCATTTTTTTTTTAAATTTCAGATTCCAACAATGTCTCACCCATCTTGGCTGCCACCCAAAAGTACTGGTGAGCCCCTAGGCCATGTGACTGCACGGATGGAGACCACACCTTCCTTTGGGACCCCCAGCATTTCAGTGTCTACACAACAACCACCCAAAAAGTTTGCACCAGTAGTTGCGCCAAAGCCCAAGTACAACCCATACAAGCAACCTGGAGGTGAAGGTAAGTGTAGGTATTTCAGAATTGGGTAGCCAAAGTGAGAAGGATAACAATATAGTAAAAGTGATTGACAGCACAATCAGTTGGATAAAGGTAGCTCAAAGATTTGTTTCTTATAGTTGGTTGACATCTAAGAACACATAGGAACCATCTAAGCCAACTTTTCTTTTAGGGTGAAAGAGAGTAAGACTTCATATATGGCTATGGTTACACAATGAGTTAGGGCTAGAGCCAAAACTAGGACCCTGCTTTCTTCATTTGTAATTGTTGCATTATCCTCCACTCCCTCCCATTGTCCTACAGAAATGTGTCTACCCACCAGTGGATTTACCCTCTGGCTATTGGACAAGTGTCTCAAACTGCTGTACTCTAAAGGGAAACCCATATGAAATGAACCTAATAAGACACCTAGAATTGGTTTGCCTCCTGTGGCTATTGTTTTCCTCCTCTAAGCTGCTGTAGAATAAAGTTATCTAGAGAGCTCTCAGAGATCTGTATTTGTAGAAGCACACAGAGCAATGTGAGTGAACTTGTGTTAGGGGCTTTAATAGCAATACATTCAGTTTGCATCAAGTGGAGTTTGGAGATCTACATGAGCTTAGTACCCTAGGCATATTTGTATGTGCACATTCAACCTGCTGAACCCCATTGGAAGCACAAATAATGCCATATTGTCTGGATGAAGTTATGCCACATTTAGCTAATCAGTGTCAGTAGTTCATCCAAACTCATAAAACAATCTATACTAATAAAAGGGTAATATGCTAATTATACCAGAAGACTTCTCGGAATATCTTCTGGACATCATTCTGGACAAAGCCATGGTGGCAGGGCTGAAGCACAGGGAATTTGGAGTGATCTAGCCAGGAAAGGAGGGCAGTTGGGGACAATAAGGTCAGCAGGGGGACAATTGGGGCTCAGCAGGCTACTTGGGGAGGGTGGAGAGCAGGTTGGCAGGGCAGGCAGTTGGGGGTGGCAAAACGGCAGGGGGTGGCAGTTGGGGGTGAGCAGCCCAGCAGGTGGGGGCAGTTGGGGGAAATCAGGCCAGCAGGGGGGTGGGTAATTGAGAGTGATCAAGCCAATGGGGGGCCAGTTAGAGATGATCAGACTGGAAATGGGGTCAGTTTGAGGTGATTAGGCCAGCAGGCAGAGTGGTTAGGGGCAATCAGGCAGGCAAGCAGGTTAGTGGTTAGGAGCCAGAGGTCTCAGATTGTGAGAGGGATGTCTAACTGCCAGCGGATTGGAAAGGGTCCCAGATTGGAAAGGGTGCAGGCTGGGCTGAGGGACATGTGCACAAATTTCCTGGACTGGGCCACTAGTGTGTTATAGCTAATAAACAGAAGAACATTAGACTTCTGGTTGCTGAGATAAAAGTGGCAGTGAAAGAAGATTCAGCCCCCCTTTCTCTATTTTACTTTCCTCCCCTCATCTTGATTTTTTTTTAATACCATTTTCTCTTGAGGATGTCTTACTTCTTTCTTAGATTATATTAGTGTTTTTCATATAGCATCTTTGCGTGAAATCCTTTATACTCTGTGATAGAGTTCAGCCTCTCTTTTATCATTTTAGTCCTCTCCCTGCCCCTAGTCAACAACGAGGCAAAGAAAAAGTTTTTTTAGTTTTGTTAGTATTTTAGGACTGAAGTCAGAACCCTGGCCCAGATGACTAGCTGTGTAAGGGAGCTGGGTGCTTTGGCAGATGGTGAGGAGGTCAGGTACCTGCATGCACATGCGAGCTGAGGCTTTGGGTCTTTCTGCATCTTTTTTTTCCAGAAAGTGCAATGTCAAGACCATCATAGAGGTTCTGTGGAAAAACAATAAATGATGCCCTTGGCACTCTGCTATTTCCCACCCCAAGTGCCTGAAGTTACATTGGCCTTGTAGGAGGTTGCAGTTTTGTAGTTAGTTAACCAGGACTCCCTGGAACTGTTTTTCTTTGCCTCATTGTTCTTCAGTGATTGCAGAACTTAGGAATGGGATCTGGAAGAGAATCCCTCCTCCAAAGGACAAGAAGAGCCTTATGTTGGCTTTCACATTTTTTTCTTAATGTTCCCCCAGGGGGATTGCTATTTGTCTCCTAACTTTTGGGAAGAGCTAATATGGACGTCCCTTTAATATGAAAGGAATAAAAACAGATTCCCTTATTGAGTAGGAGACAAATGTGTGAGGAAGTCCTAGTGGGTATGGGTATGACATTCGATGCATAAGCAATATAGGGGCAGGTCCTATATTAAGTATTGGTTAATAAATGACATGCAGGAGTCAGAGGAGAGCTGCATATAATGGTCTCCTTTGGACTCCTTCACTCTGAATGCTATGAACTGTGGTGAGTTAGCTCTTGGGTGACTCGCCCTGCCTTGTGCTGCCCCACCTTCTTTACTGCACTGTGTGAAATTCACATACTGTCTCTCTTGTCTCTAGGGACACTGGTGTAATCTCTGATACTCTGCCTCTCTTTGGTCAGCTCTTTGCTTTTTCTTAACATGCCATTCCACACCTTTTATCACTTATCAAAATCTTACTTGAGTCACCTTCTCCAAAAATGTCTAGGCCTGGCCAAGATCAGAAGTAATCATCACTTCCTTCCCTGGGTTCCACTTACCTCTTACTCTGACCATCAAATTTCTACTTTGGTTATTTCTCCTGATCTTACTCTGTCAGACATTGAACATGTAGTCTGTGAGGCACTGTGCTTTTTCATTGTCATTCCATTGCCTTCTCCTATACTATAACCCTACGTAGTAAGTGTCTTTTCACTTAAAGAAATGTAAGCTTAGAGAGGAGAGATATTATTCTGTATGGTTTTGTGGCTACTAAGGTTTTGAAAGGAGACCATTGTCCTTACCCAGCATGCTACATTGCTTATCCTATTCATGGCAAATATTGCACTGAGGCCCCATTTGACAGAAATTCTTTCCTGCTTCCTTGTGAGAATGCAAGCTTTGTTTCTTCATTTAAGCAACAAGACATGGTTTCTCACTCGTCCTTATGTTCCTCTTGGCTCTTATTATGCTGCTGTGTTTTTAGAAGGAACGATTGTGTATGGTCAAATGTATGTCTGTATGTTCTTATGTATGTATATATTTGGATGGATGGCGGATGGCTGGATGGATGAAGGCAGCACTCAGTGATTTTTTTCTACAAAAAAACAGTTTGGAATATGGGATCCTTCTGTGAAGCAGCTCAGTCTCATTTAATTTCTGAAGGTTTGATTCTTTCTTGCAATTCTGCCAATCTTTTTCTCTCTTTTTAATATAACCTTTTTTGAATACGTGAAGGAAAAAAAAACCCACATTTCCCTTGCATACATACATTTTAAAGACAAATATGGGGAAAGGTTTATGGATATTCAGACTTTTTAAAATTCAGCTTTATCTCTTCGTCTGTGGTACATGATGACATAATATTTGTTAGAAGTATAAGAGTTGCTTTACTTTATATTTAATTTAAATGTTAGTGCATTCTTTGTTACTCAAAAGATTTTTATATTTCATACTATTTTTGCTTAAATTTGTATACATTTAAAAGTTTATATCTATTTTCTTTTTCATTTCTGTCCATTTAGAATGTTTGGGCCATTAGTGAAATCCCCAGAGAGTAGGTAACAGTTTTTATTTACAGGATGAATGGATTGTGCCATGGTCTTGTGCCTCAGCTCTTGCTATCTTTTGCTGTTAACTTATATTCTTCTGAATTTCTGTCTCCTAAAGTCTTTTTATTTATAGCTTCATTCAGAGATTGACCACCAAGAATGCAATAGAGAATATGAAAGGATAGGACTAATAGAAGTCACATGAGCCACCTTTACTGGTGTAAATGTGAGAGCAGTAGTGCAGGGTATTCATGATTTGCTCTGAGATGCACAGCTTGCTCAGGGCTGAGTTGGCAGTAGACGTCAGGTACTCTCTGAGCCCAGCATTACCCTGGACCTTGGATTACATTCTAGTGAGGTCCCTTTTTCACCACGCCACAGCCTCTATATGCATCGCCTGCCATTCTTATCATGTGTCTTCTAATTGATTTACTTGGCTATGAAGCTATCTGCTTTAGCAGAGTCGGGGCTTACTCCCAATAGCACCAAGCAATGTGCCTGACACATATTAGGTACTCAATTATGTTTGAGATGATAGTTAAGCCACAGAAACATAAACCTGTTTATCCAGGCACACGTTCTAGATTCTCAAATACTTACTAAGGTTTATGGTTCTGCAGCTCAACCTCAGTGTTAGAGTTAACTTTTAGACTCGTTTACTCATTCCTGGAGCTTTTCAGTCCAGGGGTTGCTTCACTGCTACCCTGAAGTTCCGATTACATTTCTCATCTTAGTTATTATATTTATCATCTCTGGAGTTTGCTTTCTCATTTTTTAATTCTCATTTTTTAATTGTGAAAGTGGAAAAGTACCCATATTTTTCCACATCAACTTATATTTATATACCATATGTTAAAATTTTTTAATAAAGTATTCTGCATATAATATTACTCTAAAGGGCTTTGGCACACTTAAGAGTTGGAGTGTGATTTTTCTCCCCTAGTTAGTAGCTTTTTAGGCCTTAGGGTTCTTTTATTTTATTACCATTGTTCACATACTTTTCATATATATATGGTAATATATATATATATATATATATATATATATATATATATATATATAACCATTGTTCACATACTTTTCACACACACACACACACACACACACACACACACACACACATATATATATATATATATATATATATATATGAGAGTTGCCTCCCTCATGTGCCCCGACCCCAGGGGCCAGGGATTAATAAGCCTGCAACCAAGATACATGTCCTTGTCCAGGATGGAAACCTTGCCTTTAGTCCTTGGCCTGATTGCTCTAACCATTGAGAAAACTGGCTAGGGCAATGAATGAGATTTTTTACTAAATCTCTGGGTGCATTTGCATTTTTGCTACCCTAAGGTTATTAATCCATTCCTTGAAATGGAAGTTGCTAGTCACTGCTGATTTGGAGTAGGCAT